AAATTTATATTTTATAACTTACCAATGAATTACAAGAAGTCAGGGAGGAAAGACTTGTTTTAGCAGTTTTTTTTTAGATTTTTTTTATTTTAGAATGATAACCTATCAATTTTTGTATTTATTTCAACTTGATTTTTTCTTCCTCATTTTCTTTATTTTTTTAAATTTTTTTTATAATCTATGAAATAAAAAGTAAATAATTAATGAAATTTAGTAATTATACTAGTAGCAACATATACAAGTAAGGAAGTATAAGAAAAGGAATAGTAAATAACAAAAAAATAAAAAAATTAAATAAAAATTTTAAAAATATGACAAAATTACTTCTTAACCAAACTCACATGTTTGCACATGAAAAATAGAGTTTGAAAATAAATACTTGTTATTTTAAAGATCTTACAATATATTTTGATGGTTATAAAAAGTAGTAAAGAGAAATAAAATGAAATAAAAATAAATTAAATAAAATAATAAAAAGAGATTATTTTGTTGATTTTACATATTTTGGAGTCATTTTTATAATTTTTTGATACTATTGAGATATATTTTTATTAAAAATAACTGAAATCCCTTAAGTTTAACGGAAACTGGGCCAATTGGATGAAATTGGTAAAAATTTCAAACGTAAAGGACAAAATTGGCTAACCTAAAATCAATGGGACAAAATTAAGGATGCGGTTAAAACTTTGGGTACAACTGTCATTTTATCCGTAACGGAATGTCAGTGGAGGTGTTAAATCTAACGGAATTTTTGTCAATTGGATAAAATTGGCCAGAAATTGAAAGTTAGATGATGGATTTAGCTTCGCAAAATTTTTTTTGGGTAAAATTGGCTAGACACTTAAAGCTTTGGGTAAAATTAACTAATTTCTCTAATTTTTTCAGTTTAATCAGGTGTGTTTAGGTATATTTACCTATGATGAACCCTCATTGTAATCCTATGGTTGTTAATTATCCTAATTAATCCTATAGTTATCATCTTAAAACGGAACCGTCCCGTAACGGGACTCTAGCCGCTCCTAATTACAATATTACTATTTTATTTTTTTCTTTTATAATTTTTATACTGTGTAATCAATAGTACTCATTTATTAGTATTGCCCCTTAAGGGGCAATAACTATATTACCATTAAAAAATTGACAATTAAAGCACCAGTATTAAGAATAAAAACCAATACACTAACAAATAAAAAGGAAAGAAAAAAGATCAATGGTTACACTTAAACACACAACTATAAAAGTCAATATTGATTAGTGAATTGGTTTTTTCATCATTTTATGCATTAAATGGTTTCTTTAATTTTTAATTTCAGTTAGTTATTTTTTGGATTTATTAGTTTGAAGTTTCTTTTCATCACTTTTCTTTTTTGCCATTAAATTTACCATTGAGGGATAATCTCCTAATTAATTTACTAAAAAAATGACTAATTTGATATTCTCCTAATTTCTCCTAAGTTTTTTCTTTTACCATTATTCGATATTTCGGTTATATTATGATGGTTTGTGGATTTTTTTGTTTTGTTTTATTTTTTTTTTGGAAAATAATAAGGTTGGTTATTTTAAACTTATTGATGTGTTCTGTGCGGAGTGAGTCGATCGTTAGATATTAATGAGCTCTGTGCGACACGTTAATTATCATCAAAATCATATCAATTTTTTTTTTTTTTGCTTTTTTCTTTCTCCGTCAATTTTTTAATTTTTCAGTTCAATCTTTTTGTTTGCCCGAGGCAAGTGTAGGATATCGCTCATCAAGACCAGCTTGTCCGAGTTGGCAATTGTAATTTCAATTGTTGTTCATTATTATTTGTTTTGATTGTAGTTTTTTTATGTTTCTAATTATTTTACTTTTATAGATTTATAATTTTACATTAAAAAATTACCATTAAATGATGGAGTGACGTGCTTGCGACATGTGGACTTGGGTTTTTAATTTTTTGCTACGAAGATTACCCTATCTAATTTTGAACCATGTGTCCGATTAAAAATTCTCTTTTAATATATATATATATATATATATATATATATATATAGAAAGGGAGCGTCTAGAGTCCCGTTGCGGGACGGTTCCGTCATAAGTTAATAACCGTAAGATCAATTAGAACAATTAACAACCGTTAGATTAGAAAGAGAGTGTATCGTAAGGAGATATATCTAATTGTAAGGAAATTTAGCACCGGTAGGAACAAAAAAAAAAAATCACCACTCAACGACTTTAAATAATATCTCTAGTGAATTGTATGATATCCAGAGGAAATCTGCCCTCATGGCATCGAAAAACTCCGGCGAGGATTTCAGAGATGACGACAGTAAGGACGAATAGGAGTATTCCTGACATCGTAGTTTCTCCAATCCAGCGCGAGCGTTGAAATTTTGATGGATTTCAGGCAAAGTTCCACCCACACGCCTCGGTTGTCGGCGCCGCCATTAGTCTAACTGATTGCTTCTGCAAAGACCCTTTGCCTTTAATTTCTTATTCCGACAATTGTTCGCTGCTCAAATACCAAAGTAAAATCAATTTATTCACTTCCAAACTAAGCTTCGATGCGGATTAAATGTGAAAAAGAAAAATGCATCTGATAAGTTGCAGTAGAAAAAACACCCAAAACATTTAAATAATATTTTTTCCATCGTAAGATCGGCTACTTAAATTCAATTCAGTTTGCAATTCGCTTCCGGCATTTTTAATGACAAATAAATTCATAGTATTTGATTTCTTCCTCAAAACCCCAACTTGAGTCACCCCTTATTGATGAGCTTTAATTCTTTCAACATAATCCTGCGTACTTGCATTGATGATTGAGGAATACTGGGTCCTTTGGGGTCCATTTCCAATTTGTACCATATTGCCTCTCGGCAGCTTTAGTTACGACTCATATAAAATTCTGGAATTATAGTTTTAGTTATAATTTTATCTTGTTTACGTATTTAGATAAAATTCATCATTTGTTTTTCTTGCTTTGATGGGTAGGAGGTTTATCGTTTGAGCCACAGTTAAAGGGAAAGAAAAGGAAGCAGCAAGAATGATTTTAAAATTGCAGTTTAAAATGATCACCATGAAAAGAAAAAATGAAAACAGTTAACAAAAAAGAAAAAGAAAAGTGAAAGTAGAAGAAAGTTTGAGTTTTTGAACCCAAAAAAAGAACAGATTGGATGGTGGGAGACATTTTATCGTAGAAAAGAGCAAGTAGATTCCTATTTGTATTAACAATTATATTTATTGAGATAATTTCAATTCAATTTAGATAATTCTTTAAAAAAACTAAACAAATAATTAACCTGATTAGTAAGTTTTGTGGACTTGATCACATGTTTCGCACCCCATGAACAAATGGTATGCTCTCAACTTTGATTGGTTGAATTTTTAACGGGACGGTTCAGTTAAAAATGATAACAGGACTCTAGAATTTCCCATATAGAAATATATATATATATATATATGTATATATTTTTTTATCATGGTGTAAGAAGGGCCACAACTCACAAGTCGAATATATGTCTTGAAATCCTTAAATTTGATATTACTGTTGAGTATCCTACATTGGATCAGTGGTGGGAGAGTCTAAATATCAATATATAAGTCCTAATTGCCAATTGATTTTGAGGTGGAACCCATGGGCTTCTATATGGTATCAGAGCCAGTCCGCGAACTTCAAGTCTGATGTCATGATTCGGGGTTGTTTAGATATTTTAGCAAAAGTTAGTACCGTTTTATATTTTTACTATTTTGGTGTAATTGGCTATAAAGCCTTGTAAATGATTCTACGGAAGGATTATCGATGTTAATGAAATCATTCTTTGAGTCTAGTTCGATTAATCACCATTTCATCATCCTCTGATTACTTCTTCTTCTTCTTCCCCTGCTTCTTCGAACCCCTCTGAAATCTGAACTCCCGGTCGCCGTTCTTCTCATTCCGGCATCGCCTACTTTGATTAATTCAGAATTTACCCACCGTACCTTACATCTGATGTGATAGAACTGGTAGGGGTGAGGTGTAAGGCGATGACTGGTCTGAAGAAAAATAGACAAGCCTAACCTAAAAAAAATGCGTTGAGCTTGAGTGAGAGTGTTGAGTATCCCATATCGATGGTGGGAGAGTCTAGATATCAATATAATTACGTTGACCTCGGACTCGGAAAGCATAGTTTAGATTAGTAAAGAGTGGCGTTTAAGGAATATAAACAGTCGGAGTTTTGTCTTATTTCACGAACTTTCAAGAGAAGTTAGTAGTAAGTAGTAACTCGACACAAGTAACTCCATTTCACTGGGATTAGCATGCATATAAGTACATTCTTTACAAAGATTAAAAGAATCTTTTTCTTGTTTTTAACACCAATGGGGAAAAGGGTCAAAGGGCGATCTTACTTTGGGTGGGATGTCCTTCTCATTTAAGCAAACCAATTGGTACGGCACAAAATCATACGCGTCAATTTGTTTTGCACCATATTCAATTCTGCAATTTTTTTTAATTTTTTTTAAAAAATTTGTCATTATGATTTGGATTCGTGAAAAGGATTCCCCCGCCCCCAAGAACGAAATGAGTATTAATTCATGATATAGTACAGATGGGAAGGGAAATCGGTGGAGGGAAGTTCCAAAAGATAAAAATAGCGAATAAGTGTACCCTCCTTTGTAGTTTGTTCTTTTCTAAAAAGAAGTCGGTTTTTGTTGAACTAAACTAGTAGTGGATTATCAATATCGGAAATGGAGATGAAATCTGAGTTGGGTAGCAACTATAGCAGGCAATTCTAGGTGAAATGAATAAAACTTGCATACACATTTTTAGCTAATATGATCTTGTGACAAGGTCAGAGCAACTTCACAATGTTGCAATTCTAGAAAGTATTAAGGAAAGGGCAGTGTGATAGTGACAAATCCCATGTGATGTTTGGTTGTAATAGTGCCAAACAGTTAGGTGGCAAAAAGGAATAACAGGGGCAAATCAGTAGAAGAGTAAACATCAAAAGAAAAAGAAAAGAAAAATTGAAACAAAACAGTTTAGAAAAGATCAAAAGATAAAAAAAAATTTCAGAAGTCATATCAGCTGTCTTAGTGAAAAATCTCTTTCCAAGCAGTCTCAATTTTGCATTATGCTATGGCATCATGCATTGTCTCCCCTTTGAGAATGATGTTGAGAGTGACCTAACAAACCTTAAGCCTACTACATTATCTACATTCTACATATTACAGAGAATAAACAGTTCCTGCAAAGCATATACATCCCATCTGTTTTCTCTGTTTCAATCCTTCATCACTGCTATATACAGCCAAGAATAATGCATATATAGTCTGTTAAAGTTATGAACACAGATATTGAAATGTGATAAAAGGGAATGGAATTTGAATTTTTGTTTTTTTTTGTTTTTTTGCCATTGATAAGTCATAATCAGGAACAAAGCCTAGGCAAAGATTTGGCATTGTTTTGGGAGGATAACCTTGATCTCATCATCTTTGTCATCTGGACTTGCATTTTCCTGCACACCTTTTCCAATTCCAACACTCTCCATTGCATACCTTGCAAATGAGCTCTCAGCCTCTGGTTCTCGGTCGAAATGTCGAGCTTTCCGGCATAGAGCACAATCTGTTGACAACTTTCATCCTTTTTGGCCTTCCCTTTTGATCCTACTAGGCTAGACGGTGAGGGCTTGTAAGAATTCGGCTGGTTGGTTTCGTGCAGCAAGCTTTTAAGCTTAGATTTCTGGGAAATAAGAGCTTCTGCAGCTGCTTTTGATGGGAATTTCCTGTTCTTAGTAAGATGGTTGCAAGTTTCTGCTGAGAGTTTCTCATAATTTAGGCCACCACAAACTCTCATCTTTTCTTCTTCAGACAATCCTGAATGCACCTGAGGCACATGAACAATGTTATTCTCCACCAAAGAGCTTCAAATTTCTGACTTTGAACAATTTATGACTGCGGTTAACACATTTCCTATAACACTTTAGCAACAATATGAGCCCAGCTAAAATCAACCAAGAGTACGAGACAAAAGCCAGAAAATGCTGATAATTCTAACTCAACTATGCACATACCTCAAGATAAATATCGATGGCACCGTAAATTCCATCATATGATAGTCTTGCCGAGTCTGGCAGGGCCCGGATTAGGGCCAACAACTTGGATGGTTTGAGAGAAGGGTCAGGAGCTACTTCTGCAATGTAGAGATCCATCAATGTAGCAACTTTTCTCAATCGAGTCAATGCCACGCAGCATGCTTCTTTGCCGATAAATGAATTCAAAAGCCGAAGCACAAGATTCACATCATAGAGATACTTTGTTCCGGCTGGAGAAGGAATAAGCAGATTGTCCAATGTTGCTTGATCTAATAGTGAACCAATCATTATTTCCAATTGGTTCCTGCAGCATTTGCTTATGTTGAGATTTGAAGAAACCCGAAGCATTCCGAGTAAACTCTTGAAGGAAACTAGGCTCAGATCAAGAGATTGAAGCATCTGAACAACAGCCTCAGTTAGTTTACACTTTGCATCAGTAGTGGCTGTTGCAAAGCTTGACTTATGGTAATAGAAGAGAAACCTACTGATGATACCATGATCCACATTTTTCGATTCCATTGATTTGATCAACATTTCTATCCAATGAGGTTCTAAAGCTACAAAATCTTCAAACCACCATGTTGATGTTGCCCTGAAGGAGTTATTTTTCAAACTCTCAGTACTTCTTGTGTCACATGACAACCGAAATCCAGAGCTATCAGGCGAAGAACTCGACGGGCACGGACTTGGTTCAGCACAGGATGCGGCAATGCGGCCACAGAGAGAATCAAAGTACTTGCTAAGTATGCCAGAAGTGCTTGCAACAGGTTCCAGATCTTGACATTGCCTCAAAGCTAAGATAATCTCAGACCAAGTCCAATACCTTATTTCTTCAAGTGATTTCTCGGTTTGCTCAACTAGATTTGGGGTATTGGATACTGATTCATTCATCTCCATGAAATGTGCAATGCAGTAGAAAGCAGAAAAATTCAAGGGATTGACATCAAATTTGCCTCTTCTGTAACAGAATCTTGCCATGAGCTCAAAACTCTCAGCCCCTCCGGGAAAGTCATTGAAAATCACCTTGAGACCTTTAGTCACACCTTTTGATTTTCGAAACAATTTTTTAATCCTTCCTGAATACAGAGACAACACTTCCTGCAAAGTTCATCACGAATGCCAACGTTAAACAACTGCAACAGTTGCCTTTTCAGAAGCAATAAATTAATACAAATCTTCAAAACCAGAAGTACAGTAGCATTGATAACTAATTGACAGTAAACAAGAAATTACCAGTCAAACATGACAAAATGAGGACAAATATCAAGATCCCAGAAACAGGAAGACAAAATTGAAGGTGAAAGATGTACAAGTTGACAATTTGATGAGGAATAGAGGAAATGAATGGTAAGAGGTCATCGTTATGGACATTAAATAAATGTGTCTGGAGAATCACAAAAAAAGCATTTGGGTAACATACATGATACATTCCCAGCAAAAGAGGGAAAGAACAGTACTACTACTAAAGACTACTGACTTGTGAGTAGTCAATGAGTGGATAAAACAGGAGCATTCCCTCTTTTTTTTTTAGTTTTTCACTCTTAAAAGCTGTGAAAGTAGCAACAAAGAAAGGACTGAACATTTAATTGGCCATAATAATAACACAATCATAAAGGAAAGAACCGAAGAAATATGGAAATACCCCACATTCCAGCAGTGTAGGGTAGAGAGATGTAATGTAATGGTAGGTTCTCGTAGTAATAGTAGAAGAAACAACACTGAAATGACAAATAATCATAACTCAATGATGCCGATTTTTGCAGAAAGATGACCACAGTAAAAGCTACTTTAGAATTTGATCGTTGCAAAAGTTGGAGTTAACAACAAATGATGGACATTAACTTCCAAATTCACTAATCAAAGCTTCAAAAGATTTAGCTCAACTCTTCCCTTATTATTATTTTTTTTGGCTTAAAGACCCAAAAAATGCAGGGGAAATCAAGCATTTTACATCAAGCAATGGGAGGGAAATCAGCCAGAATAGCAGAAATGAAGCAGAATTTTCAGTTCTTTACCTTGTCGACCATGAAAGTCTCTTCTCCATTGATATCCACTTCGAGATCACAAGAGACACCCATAACCAAAAACCAAATAAAGAAACTATTTTTACTCAGAACCCAAAAGGACCCAAGAAAGAAATGAGAACCGACCTCAAAGGAAGAATCTTTCTGGCACCATTATTGAAGAAATAAAACCTCTGAACTGAAATGAGAAAAGGGGTGGCAATAACACACCATATTCTGAGAATGGACAAGAAGACAAGCAGAAAAGTCCAGTTCTTGGTTGTGCAAAAAAAAAAAAAAATGCTTAATCAATTAGGTTGCAGAACAGAAGCAAAAAAATTTTGTAGTATATATCGTGGGTTCTCACTTCTTTCAACTGGGATATTGGAGAGAATTAAGGGACAGGAGTGTATGTGAAGCAATATGGGGTGATAGAAAAGACATGGAAAACACACATATATAGGGATTAGAATAAGAGGATAAAACAAAGAGGGAGGAGATCAGAACAGAGACAAGTAAAATGGAGTAAGACTAAGGGAAGTAAAAACAGAGTTGTTGAGACTTCAGAGAAAGAAAAGAGAGAGACCACTAACCACTAATCTATATAAATGAGTACAAAATCTGGCATTATTCCTGCAAAAAAAATTGGATCAACTCTTATGTGTGTTATGATCATAAAAACATGTGATTTTGGAATAACTTGCCTTTTTTTTAAAGGCTTAGAAGCTTTTTTGGCTGTCCTTGTGCTTCTCTATCTCTATCATCAATGATATTATTATCTTATTCTACCACTAACAGCGTGAAGTATCCTTTTTTTTTTTTCCATTAAAATGCAAAACAATCCCCTCAAGTTTCACTAGTTTGCAAAATACCCTCTCCAGTATCAATGATAAACTCAAATTTGTGCGGAAAGAAATAGATTCTTAAATGGAAAAATGTTGTTCTAAACTAATTTCATTGTTTGGAAATGATAATGGTGTTTGTATTGAATTACAACAGCCGTCTTCGGTTTGAGTGGAGCCAAATCTAAAGATGATGGCACTTTACGAGTTTTGTAACTTGCAAGTAAATGAAATTTTTTATTGGATTGATGTATGATGTAATGGTGTTTTAATGAAAATAATTAGCTAAGGTCTACAAATAAAGTTATCTATATCTATTGACCACTTATTTATTGCACAAATTGGAAAAGTGAAAGATGATAATGTGATGCAATTGATCTATCTTTCATGGGGTAGTTTGGAAAACAATCACTTGTGAGGAGGTTATTTGCAATTAACCTTTTACTAAACAAACTTTTTCTTTAATTAGTGTTCATTTTAAAATTCTCAAGTTTTAGTGTGCCTTTTTTTTTTTTTTTACAGCTTTAGAGAAATAATAGATTAATTAAGTAATCCATTGCGAATTTGCAACACTTTTCTATATTTCTTTTTCTTTGTTTATTTAGGTAGACCCGATTTTAATCTCATTTTTTGTTAAGCAGGGACCAAAGCATATTAAGAGTGTTCATATTCCCCCATTCCCCCCACAAGGCCTTAAAGAAAAAGAAAAAATATCTTACAATTAGAGACAAATTATACTTAACTTGTACCTGGCAATAGTGATAGTTTTGACCCTTGTTCCTTTAGTGGGAGAGATGTTGTCGATTTGCTCCCAAAAACCTCAAGAAGATCTTACGGATTTGGTCCATTTGTTTATGTTTCCACCTGTTGGATTTGTGAGGGTAAAGAGAACTAAAGATAGTAGTTATGGTAAAAACTTTTTACAGGAGATGAGGTGGAAACTTTTACATCGAAGTAAATATCATCATTAATTGATGTCGAGTTAGTCACTTATTATATATAACTGTCATATTTGTTGAACAGAGTCCACTACCAAAATGCAAAGTCTGAGCTTTTGCTATATGTTTGGGGCGTTGGATTGTACGAAGGTAAATAAGAGGAGAGCTATAAGCCTATGATCAACTCAATTTTGCCTCTTCTCTGCTGGATGGCTACGTACAAAAAATGAAAATGGGTTCTGGTTTTATGATTCAGAGATATGATTCTAATGTAAATTGGCATCTTTGATGCTTGAATCTCATTCGAGATTATATAAAGATTATCATGAAATCTGTAAATCTGCTTAATGGGAATCCCTGACCTGAACCCAGAAGGCCAGAATTTTTAACCCCGGGAAGAGTTTGGGCAGAGTACTTTGATCTCCATGGAGTTGAACCAAAAGCTAAAACGAGCCTTCAACCGAAAAATGCCCAGCAATTAAAGCTATAAGTCCAGTCACTGAATTTCTAATTGAGGATTTTGCCAAATGCACAGAGCATTGAGACACATCAAGATTTTTGAATAGTGAAGAATTTTAACAGGTCAATAATATGGATATACTGAAGTCAAGAGGATGTTAAACAAGTCAATTTTTGAGACTGAGCAAGTTCAAGGAAATGACATAATTTCTAGATACGAGGTACTGGAAACAATGTCAGAGATTGAACCAGCAAAGAACAGTATTAATGGATGAAATGAGGCTGCCACAGGAAGATGGAAGAAGCAGTTAGGGATGTCGAAGATATTGCTCTAGCGGAAAAGGAGTGCCATCTTAGAATCCAACAACACCTGTTGATGTAATATTAGTTCCTCAAATAAATCAGGTGAAATAACTTCATCTACTTCGGAAAACAACTGCCTCGCTACTAAGGCTTGGCGAGCCGATTACCAGCTTTGATTTATCGATGTCAACGCCTATTGCCAAACTGATGAAATATCAATCAGAAGTGACCCAAAGGTCGGTGCCAGACAACAAAATAACCAAGAAGAAGCCAAAAAATAAAACATAAAAATCAGTAGAGGAGGAAATGGTCAATGAGGATGATTTTAACCTAAGAAAAGATTTGGTTTCGAGGGAAATTGTGTTAATGAAAATGCTGATGATTGATGAAGATGGCCGAGTGGGGTACTATACAAGGAACAATTCAGATCCAAGCACTCTATTCATCTGTGACCCATAGAGGGTCTCTGAGCCAATCGATCCAAAATGAAGTGAAAGAAGGCGTAGGGAAAGCATGTGGAACTGAAAGAAGAGAGGCTTCTTTGAGCCATTTGCTTAGGGAATGAATAGGGCATAAATCGCATCCCGCAGTCCAACAAAACAGACGAATTGGACAAAAAAAATTCTACACTGTGAACAGTAATTAGAATAACAGTAAATATAGCACGTATATATGATGCTACTCATGAAAATGCAAATGTGAGTTCTGAGGTGATGAATTTCGGATCAAAAAAGAAAACAAATGTGAAGCACAGCTGCACAAGAAGTTGAACTGTATAGGCGTATAGCCAATGAAGAGAAGCGAAAAGGAAAATCTCAACAGAAACACTACCTTAAATGGGAAAAAGAACAACAAACCTTTAACTATATGATTTAAAAAGTGTTGAGAATTCTACTTCAAGAATAGTGGACAAGTTGCACTAGATCAAAGAACAAGAAGAAAAATTTATGGTTAAGACAAAAGAAAGTTTTGTCTCCAAGTCACAAGTAAACTTGCTTTTCTTAAGGCTAAATTCGCCCACTATACAGTGTAATTGTCTAGGTGAATTCCCTATGAAATAAAATGGAGATCATGTTATTTTACTATGCACTTTAGTGAACCAACAACCTGATACAAGGATAAGAAATGTCATTGAAAATATTCCAAATATTTGATGATTTCATTGTACACTAAAAACATCCAAATGATCCATATTTATAGAGTTAGAGGAAACTCTGGGGGATTAGATGTAATCCCTGGTTATGGTTCTAGACATAATTTTTCGTTAACGTATTTTCATATGAAGATCATAGGCACAACCTATTAGTTGTGTCTCTACAATATATTGAAAACACCCAATAGTCACAACATATTAATTGTGTCCCTACAACATATTGAAAATAACTCCAACAAAAAGTTTACATTGGGTTCTCTCTTCCAGTCCAGAAACCAGATTATTGATTGCCACCCTAATCCTTGATTGTGACAGTTGGGCTCTAGCCGGTACTTTGAGTAGTTCCAACAATAGCTTTTGAGTTTGAGGAATATCATCCGTAGTATCCTGTTGTTTAGGTTTAAATTTGATGCTTAATTTCTTCAAAGACTTGCAAATCCGAACCAAGTCCACCGCAAACTCAACTTGGTTCCTCTGATCACCATCTAAGTCGGTCAACTTCAGCTCTTTCAGATGCTTATGAGTATACCGACTTAGTCGATACTTGAGTTGCTTTTCAGAATTATATGATGAGCACTAAAAACCATAAAAAAACAAGGAGAGTAAGTTGAAATTCATTACGCGCTACTAATAGTCGTATCAAAATCATAATAAAGTAAGGGGTTGATCAGTGTAAGTACCATCTTCCGAGAATGATAACTTGGTAGATTATCATCCAAAAACTGTCAACAAGCAAATACAGATATCAAAAATTACACAATCAAAAAAATAACTAAACATATTATACATATGTAGTATCATCATCAACCAAAATGCTTAAAAAATTAATGTACTCGAAGATCAGTAAATTATGTTTAATACCTGAACGGACTAGGTAGACAAATATCGCATCGGCCTAATGCATAATAGAAAGGCGGAGAGCCAGGTGGTGACCCTAATTGTAAGTAATAATCGGTTCAAGCTGCTTAAGATGACGTCCCAAAGGCGGAAAGTCGCGGCAGCATATTTCAATGAACCAGCCCTTTGCAAAAGTACTCTCAACAAGGTGGACAAAATAATAATTAGCAATAAAGCAAACTATGGTTAACCGAATCTAATCAAAAAAAAAAAAAACACAACAAAAAAACGTAATATATATTCATCAACAAATTCAGACCTGAAAGTGCAAGGTGAGTTTCTCCAGCTGATCAGAGTACACTTGATGCTGTTCCTTTCTACGGGAAAAAGATCCAAAATAAGACTCATCCATGCTAACTTCTGGCAGGAGAGGGACATTCTCAAAGGAGAATTCCGGACTCCAATTCAAAAATGTGGGAACTCCCATGAATTCAAAGCGCAAGAGATTCGGAGCAGAGGAAATCTCGATGGTTTTTAAATCCCAACAAGATCTTATGCTCAAAGACTTGAGGGATGCACTATCAACATTTAACTCAGTTCAACATAGTCCTTTATGCAGGAAAAGTTGCTCAAGACATGGACAATTGGATAAAAGCGAATCCATCCCTTTATTGTCAATGTTGAACTGAACCATTGTCAACGACTTCAACCACCCAAACAAACAAGGCCCTGAAGAAGAAAAAACCTTCTCCGGATCAGGCAAATCATATCCAGAGTCTGATAATTTCGGTACGTTAACATAAACTCCATAAACAGGATTCACCGAGTCACAAGCCTTGCGGTGGGCATAAACTGCAAATCGAGGGATATCACAAGAGGATGAGATTTCCAGAACCCGAACTTTCTTCTGTGCAGCGAAACCGACCCAATCAGGGATGAATTTGTTGGTGACATTAGACCCTGTTTGGAAACGAATTATAAACTTATCCACACTTGGAGCTTGATTTGATGTGATAACCTCGGTGGCTTTCTTCAGTGTCATGGAAGCAGCATCATCAGCATAATCGTCGTCTCCTTCTCCGATTGCATCGAGAACAAAGTCACAGGACGCAAAGCGCCAGAGATTTCTCCATCTACGAGAAAGGACACTGGTCCGGCATGCTTCCGCTAAAGGGAAACCTTACAAAATTGATACAATTATCTCGTCCGGCAAACTTTGGATGCTACTTAAACCTCCCTTGCTAGTTTTCCTGCCCTTCATGATGAAATCTTCAGCGTTGGTTTAACTTAAACAATGATTTGTTCAACAAACACAATTAATATATATCCAGAATTAGGGATTCAGACTGGTGGGATATGGGTACAATTAATATCGCAATATCAGGTTGAAAAGGACTAAGTTGAGGATGAAATTACTAATTAGGGATAGAAAAAAGGAAAGGGTTGAAGGGATGGGGGCAAGGGTGACTTTTTTGGCGTTCAAGTCCACCGTGAAGGAAGATCAGGATTCAGGACGAGGACGGCGGCTGACTAAACTACAGAGGATAGACGAGTAAGTACGTATTCTTTCAAGACTAAACTGCAGAAATGGTCTTTTATACTTGAACAAAATTAAATTTTGATCCTTTATATTCAAATCCTTATATTTTTTGTCCGTTTTCACTAACGCGGCAAGAATACCATCGCAGCCGTTAACCCTAGGCTAGGAGTAGTTGTGGGGCAAATAATAACAAGAATCTATGTACACTTTGCATCATATATTGTGTGTATTACAATCTTGGCAAAAGAAAGGCAGGGTTGTATGGCCAACATCTCATTTTGCATTTTGGTTTAGTTTTTGGTTTGAGTTGGAGATGCGATTTAAACTATGTTTTGAGAGAAAATTTTAAAAATTGTTTGCATAGATTTTTTATTAAAATAATATTATCTTTTTACCACCACCGGCCACCTCCACCACCTACCTCTGCCGTCGGATTCTGGCCAACTCGCCGGAATTTGACCGACCGGTCTCCGGTAGGCGGCGGTCCGGCGGCGGCAAGAGGCGGTCCGGCGGTGGCGGGCGATGGTGGAGGTGGTCCGGTGGTGGTGGAAGAAAATTGTGTAAAAATAATTTTTGGAATATTTTTTATAAAGTAAGTTAAAAAGTTGTTTGGGTAGTATTGAGTTTTATGTTTGAAAGCTATTTTAAGAGGTAAAATGAGACAAAAAATCAAAATAAGAGTTGGACGAACAAGACCTCACTTTTTAGTCCGGATTTTATGACACCACATGCACATTTAATTGGAAAATAATAATAAGCACCTAGGTATACTTTGCAAGATGTACCTCATGGGCATGTGTAATACACTCCCCTTCTACACAAGTGGAGCTTTTAGTCCGAATTTTAAAACACCACACACACATTAAATTCTCCAAATTTTATCCCTTTTTTTAGCACACGTTTAATTTCAAACTGATATTTTTTTAATGCTTATCCTATTAGTTTTTATATTATTTTATTTCATAAGATTTTTTTGGTTAAAATGATGGATTTAATTTTTGGTAAAACTGGATATGTGTATGAGTAAATTTATGAATGAGTAACAATATTCACAAAGATGAATAACGACAATATAAATCTTGATGAATAATGATCTCATCCTAGATGAATAACAATACTAAAATAAAGAATATATGTAGTTTTTGCAAGATGAATAATTGTATTTTAATAAATGAATGATATATTGTTAGTGGATGAATAATGCAAAACAGAATGAATAACTTTGATCAAGAAAACTAACAAAAATATATTTTACAATGAGATAATGTCAGCAACTAAGCTAACAAAATTCTAATTATGAAGTATACTATATCAAAATTGATCAGGAAAACTAGTCATTGTTTTTAACATATAAGGTCTTGAAAGATCCGCCGATGCTCGATATGTTTATGTTGATTGTTTGATTTCAGCAACTCTACCAAAGATTTGATTCGCGACCGATCGAGTTCATTTTGATGAGCATTTTTTTGAAGCTGATCAAACAAAAACAACATTACAATATGTGAGATTTCACATTCAATCAAAACTATGTTAATCATCAATAACAAGGCTATTGAAAATGAATAATCATCTTTAAAATGATGAATAACCATTTAAAATATATAAATGTCAGGTTAATATGATGAATAACCATTATATACTAATGAATAACTATTTCACCAATGATGAATACCTTGACAGGTATGATGAATTATCATATTTTACTTATTAAAATCAGATAATGTAGTGTATTAGGATCATAAATTTGTTAGGAGGAATACTTATAGTTTTAATGATGAATAACTACATATATATATATGCACATGTCATTCGAACAATACGTTGAACATACAAATTAATGAATAACCAAATATTACGGATGAATATGACCAAAATATATATGTTTCATTTATCTACTCAGATGAATAACAATTAACAGAAAAAATAACAATTGCATAACACCATTATTATGATGATTAATCCTATATTATCGGTGAATAATGGCAGAGTAACTGCTGAATAATGAACATATCTGGAACCCTTCCAAAATCAATACCAATAGATGAACAAATCTAACAAATTGGTGAACAACCATTTATAATCGAATGCAGAGACCTTAGATATACATAACCTAACCAAAAAAACTAAATATGAATAACTAGCTAATAACACAATTGTTATGATGAAGCTGCTAGTTTCAAGGATGAATATTGAATACGAACTAATGAATAATATCCAGATCTATTAGTCTTTTCCAAAACCAACAACAGAACAATGAAGAAAACTTAAAATTTGATGAACAAAAATCTATAATCGAATGCACATAACGTATATCTACATAACCCAATCAAAAAAATACATCAATTGTTGAAAAGATTAAAACCTGATCATAAACCTCTGGCGATTCACAAAATTTGAATTTTGTTCTTTTTCGCAAGAGATCTAAATCCATAAACCTCTGGCAATTCATCAAACGGGTTGGAACTGACAATTCGAAATTATCAATCAAAGATTTTGAGAATTTTAAATAAAATTCACCGGACAAAACACAAAACAGATGAATAATCTCAAATCTTACCGTAATTTTCATATTCAGCAACGTATATTGCAACCAAACTCACAGAATTCGATGAACAATCAGATTTTGTCTTCAAAAATACCGCCGACGAGAGGTTTCGATGCCAAATCCCTGCAGAGAATATTTTGTTTTTTAGATTTTTTAGTTTGAGACGTTTTGGATTAGAATAGAAAGTTGGATGGATATGATTAATGATGGCTGGAAATTAGGAGAGATATTAGGAAATTAAAAATTTTAAAAATCATTTTTTTACCCTCTTTTTGGGTGCGTGAATTTCATAGGTATACCTAGAAGCTCTATATTATAACTGCATTTAATCCTCCAAATTCGTTCCTTTTTTTTTGGGCACACGTTTAATTTCAAACCATTTTTTTTCTTATCTTGTTAGCTTTTATATTATTTTGTTTTATTAGAAATTTTTTTAATAACGATGGATTTTATTTTGGTAAAATTGAATATGGTTCATCATCAAGACTTATGAATTTGGAGAATCAAGTAGAGCAAAAAATTTCAACTGATTAATAATGGAATCCGAAAAATTAAGCGTCAAATTTGAAAGATTTTAAGGGATAACAATATTCGTTTCGATGAATAATGGTATACTTATCGATGAATAATGATAATATTGTAGATGAATAATGGTGTTCTTATAGTGACAAAGTTATTGATGAATAAATTTTAATTTTGAAATGAATAACGATATTTGCAAAGATAAATAATAAAGCAAATTTGATGAATAATGATCTCATCCTAGATGAATAACAATACTAGAATGAAGAATAGATATAGTTTTGCTAGATGAATACTTGTAACTTAATGTATGAATAAAATGTTGTTAGTGGGTGAATAATGCACAATAGAATGAATAACTTTGATAAAATAAGAAAAAAAAACTAACAAGAGGATTATTTTACAATGAGGTAATGTCAGCAACTAAGCTAACAAACTTCTAATTACGTATTATGCTAGACCAAAAATGAACAAAAAAACTAGTCATTGTTTTTAATATATAAGGTCTTGAAGGATTTGCCGATGTTCGATACTTTTGTGTTGATTGTTTGATTTTAACAGCTTTGCCAAAAATATTTGATTCCCGACCGATTGGGTTCATCTTGATGAGCATTTCTTTGCTGCTGATCAAACAAAAAGAACATTACAATAAGTGAAATTTCACATTCAATCAAGATTCTGTTAATCATCAATAACAATATTATTGAAGATAAATAATCATTTTGAAAATGATGAATAAATATTCAAATTACATAAATGGAATCTAATTAATAACAATCGTGTACGGGTACAAATACATGATGAATAACAACATCACTGGTGATGAACGACATATCTTTGCATGATGAATACACATATTTTATAGAATGAATAACACATATTCAAAGGATGAATGACATATAGACAGTATGAATAACACAATTTTACAGGATTAACGACACATATTTACAATCGTATATGTTCACATATTAAATGATGAATAACAATTCATAAAAAAGAATGACATTTCTTTGAAGGATGAATGATATTTACAGTATGACTAACACATATTCAAAGGATGAACCACTCAAATTGACATGATGAATGATATACATTCACATGATTATATCAGATCACTTTTAAGATGAACAACGACCCAGTAAAGGATGAATAACTCATATTTGCATACACCTAATCTAGACAAATGCCTACAACGAACAAACTACTTAATGACGAACATCTTAATAGATGATGAATAATCATGATTAACATGATAACTAATAATCAGACCTGCATACAACCAATCTAAATCAAAATATCCACAGTGGACATATTACACGATGAATAACAGATTTGCAAGGGGTGAATAATCGTTTTTAATAGGTTGAATAAATCAGCATATCGTACACGATATCCATAAAATGAAAATTATATTTAATTAGAATGATGAATAATCATTATTACATGAGACTCAACGCCGAAAAGATCAGAATTTTCGACGATTTCTTGCCCAAATTTATGTGCGACCGGCGGCAGTGGTCGTGGAATTTGTAAATCTGACCTTCTTTTTCACAGCAGATCTGAATTCATAAATCTTTGGTGATCCACCAAATCTGAATTTTATTTTTTTCATAGAAGATTTGAATCCATAAACCTGTGACGATTCATCAAACGG